TAGCAGGTGATTAAACCTGGTGAACCAAATGGCAGTGGGAGGTAGGTAATTGTTCTGCATGCTCTCTGGCTGCAAAGGGATCTTGAGGGCATGCCTGTGTAAGTCATCTCATGTTTGACTGTCTCCGCTCATATAGGTTTGTGAAGCCCCCAGGATGAACTCACAACGTACCAGGGGAATTGTTCATTTTGCACGGGATAAAAGTTTAGAAGGAAATCTGTTTGGCTCTCAGATTGAGGTGTTTTGCATTGCATCTTTCTATAGATTTATTCAAGGCAGTGAGCCCTCTGGGTTGCTGTTAGCTGTGCAGCACAGGGTAGGTAATGAGTATTAGGGAGTCTCCTAATTCCTGCACCCTTCCTGCTAACAGCGAAGGTGATGGAGGGAAGGCATGTGTTTAGAGCTCGGTTTTCAAGGGCAAAAATAATTTCTGTAAGTGCAAAACTGCAATCTAGCAGCTAGGATGTGGGGTTGTACTTGGAGGAATGGCAGAAAATCTCTGTCTGGTTCAAGGTTAGCAAAGTTCAGGGTTTGGAAAATGGGAGAGGAGCACACTGGGAGGGAGGTGACAGTGCTTATCCGTGCCTGACCGCAGTTCATAAGGAAATGCACGTTTTTGTTGGTGCATTCTCACTTTTTGGCTGTACTTTGATTTAGATCCTAATGCTGTCGTGGTCGGTGGACAGGCTGCCAGTGCTTTAGTGGGAGCTAGCTGGAGCAGGCAGAGCATTGACCTGTGCTCTGGGGGCTGATGTTACCTGAAGCAGGGCAGGTGGTCTCGGTTCCACCCATGAGGAGGGGTCTGGGGGTATGCGTGCTTCGGGCTTCTGTCCTGGCAGTGTCCTTCCAGCATCGCTCACCAGGTTTCTCCTCCTCAGAAACTCCCTTTGCCGGGGGCTTTGCGGCGGCTCCTCTGTTCCCTGCCTGAGGCGGCGGCAGGTCGTCACGTTGTTTCGGTGCCGCAGGTTCTCCCGCGTCTCGTGCCGCCGCTCACACTTCTCGTCGTAGCTCTCGCGCCAGTGCCGTGGCCGTGCCTTTTTGGGTTGGTTGATCATGCTGGGCACAGCTCTGCTGGTCTGTGACCGCCCTGTCCGCTCCAGGGTCCTCTGACCTGATGAAACCGAGGGAAAAGACATGATTTGGGTGAAAACTAATTATTTCTGAGATTAAATGCATGTGTGAGGTATTGGATGCTGATTCTGAAGTCCTCATACAACGGATGCAAGCGGTGTTCCTGGAGAAATCTGTTGTCCGTGAACTTGTACATGTTGGCTATGTAAAACACACTGTGCTGTTCTTGCTCCTCTGTTGGGTGGTGCTGACCTGGGGGATGCCAGGAACAGAATTTCAAACAATTAACGCAACCTCATGAAGTTGGCTTTGCTACCAAGTAATGATGCTTCCACTGCTTCCTCTGGGAGAATTGCTTTCCTGATAAAATAAAATCCCTCTGTTATTCAGACTAATTCTTTGGTGCACGCTCTTGTAGCTCTTTAGCCAACCTAAAGAAAATGATGAAAATGCAAGAAGAGCAATAGCTGCTATTCCTTCAGTAAACTTCTTTAAATATGCATTTCTTTTGCCAGTTTTTTTTGATAGATCCAAATATAGTGTGGATATAGCTGTTGTGTGACTTAGTCTTCAAGTAGTTGCATTATATTTCTTAGTGTGGCTGTCTTTTCTGTGTGCACAGAGAGGTCTGGAGCAGTGAAAGTGTTGTAGGGTGTTTTTCAATGGAGTATCTGGCAAAGTCCCTGCGCACCCACTCTCTGAAGATCCCAGCTACTGAGTCCTGCTTTCTCTTACCTCCTTTTTGCCCCCTCCCTCCCTCCCCAGCTCTCTGGCTCGGATGCTGTGTAACGCTTTGCCCTTTGCTTGTTCGCCTTCACTTGTCCTCCTAAAGCCTCCCTGGCTGCAGCCCTGGGTCTGTATGTCGCCAAGCTGCAACTTGGTTCTTTCATTGCAAATACAAATATAGTGGTTGATCGTTACACTTTCAATGGTACCAGTTTGCTTCAGGCACGAATTCTACCTCTGTTTGGGGATTTTGTGGCCCAAACAAGGCAGCGGCTTGGCCGAAGGAGGAGCTCTTCTGTTTCAGCACTATTGTGCTGTCTCCGTGCGCATGCAGGGTGTAGATATGAAACCTCCTCCCTCCCGCTGACTTCTTTGCACAGTTGCAAGCCACCGGTGTATTGTTTTTTACTGGACTTTGGTCACATCCAGTGTATTTGGGCCTTCGCCTCTGCATCAGCTAAAAAGAAAGCTGAGCAATAACCACCCACAACTGCTCCTTTGCCTTCCTCCCCTCGAGCGAAAGCTGCCTCCTCCTCTCCTGTCCCCTCGCCCCATCGGCAGTGAAGAGGCTCATCATCCCCGTGCCCATCCTGTGAATGTTGCTTGGAGGGTGCCCGGCCCCAGGGGGTTCAGCCTGGGAGCTGCTGTGTCTGGTGTGGGGCTTTTCTCGTGTTTAGTAAATCACATTAATGTAGGAAGGAGGGGGAAAAAAGTAATTTTAGTCTCTGAAAATTCAGGTTTAAATGTTCTTCGGTGTCAAACAAAACCACCAAAACTTCATTTGTCTCATTCTGTCTCAAGCAATTAGGAAGTTGTTGAGTCTAATGGAAAAAAAAAATGGGAACAAGTAAACTCCATTTACGTATAGAATACTTCCATGCTTTTTAGTCTGCGTTAATATCTGCTCTGTAATTCTTCTTACTGTCCTTTTGCTAGCTGTGGCATACCCAAAGCTTGTTGCTAGCGCCATCTTTTCATTGTAGGGACTTCCTTTGGAAAGAGAGCGGCTCTTCTGAGGTGGTCAGCTCTTGCTCTGGGCAGGGAAGGTGCCTGCAAACCCCCAGCCAGGACACTGCTCCCAATCCTGAGCCCGCATGGGACGTGGGCTTCAGGCGCCCCTGAAGTACAGCACTTGCTTACGTGCTTTTATTCATTTTTATTTGAATATTCTCTTCTTTGAATAGCTTCTGAAGCATCTCTAATTTTAGCTTAGATTTACTGAATGATCCCAATAGTGTTTCACTATTCAGGTGTTTCTTATTGGGATATGCTTTCAGCTGGAGGAGTCTGGGGGTATAAAAGGCTGAGCAGGTTATTCCTATGCAGCTTTCATGTCTGTACCATAACAATCCTGCTGTGCTCACCCAGGGCTCTTCCTCTCGGTGCTTGCACACATGCTTTCCCTGGCCCAGCAGGCAAGGCAAGGTCTGGCCAACAGCTTTGCACACAGAAACACAAGGTGGGCATACGCCAGCGCCCCGCAATGCGCTGCCTTGAAGCTGGGTATGAACTCCATAGCTTGGGACAAAGTGTGTATCTACAGCCAAACCTGCTCCGAACCCTTCAGGACACTTTAAAAGCATTTTTCAACTAATTTTTCTTGATTTTTAGAAATGACCCAATTGCACGTTGAATCTGGGCCTCGGATGTCCTGCTTGG